CAACCTGTGTGATGCAATTTGACCCCTGGAGGATCTTTTACAGAACAGCACACTGTCCGTAGTCCCACTGAAAACAATAAACATTTGCCTAGACAAATATCAAATAAAGAAGCGTTTACTTTTAAGGCATCACAAAAGTTCTGAAGTACAAAGAGTAAACTCAGACACTTCTACTTTTCTGTATTTTTTTTCTTCCCCTTCTCTGAGAGCTGCGCTCATTTCTCCCCTCCCTTAAAAAAAAACTTGTAGCCAATCATCTGTGTGCCAGCCCCCCAGGGGCAGGGCTGTCATTGGCTGAAAGTTTCTAAGGTGAAATAGAAGAGGAGAGTATTTATTACAGAGACACGGAGAGAGAGTTGGAGAGCCGAGCTTGAAATTGCCTAGGTGAAATTGGGAGCCTTAAACTTTCCAAAACCAAGGAACTTTTTTTCTTCTTCTGAGAGGCAGAGAGAAAGAGGGGACAGAGAGGGGGCTAATAAGACTAACTCCAAACTTTCCCACCCCCTTTTGACTATCCTCAGAGCTGGGTTCATGCACGTCTCTGAGAGCAGATCGCTTCAGCAGCAACTTTTCAGTGGGCTGTGAACAAACTTTTTTTTTCTCCTGCCAGCTGCTGTTCACCAGGCAAAACTTTCTTGTTTCTTTTGCAAAGTTTTTGCTGCCTTCCTTCTCTCCCCCACCCCCAACTCCCTCTTCCATCCCTTCCTAGCTTCCTCCACCACAAACCCAGCTGGTTTTAAAGAGGCTTTGCCACTTTAGTGCTCTTTTTTAAATCCCTCCCTCCCCCCTCCTTTCCCCCCACCCCTTGATTTTCATCCCACTGTTTTTCCCCTCTGCCGCTTTCTCGCATGAATCTCCTAGACCCCTTCATGAACATGACAGAAGAGCAGGACAAATGCATCTCTGGCGCCCCTAGCCCCACCATGTCGGACGACTCCGCGGGGTCCCCCTGCCCTTCTGGCTCCGGATCGGACACGGAGAACACCAGACCGCAAGAAAACACTTTCCCCAAGGGCGATCCGGATCTGAAGAAAGAGAGCGACGAGGACAAATTCCCGGTGTGCATCCGAGAGGCGGTCAGCCAAGTCCTGAAGGGTTACGACTGGACCCTGGTCCCCATGCCGGTCCGTGTGAACGGATCCAGCAAAAACAAGCCCCACGTGAAGAGACCCATGAACGCCTTCATGGTGTGGGCACAGGCGGCCCGGAGGAAGCTGGCGGACCAGTATCCGCATCTGCACAACGCAGAGCTCAGCAAAACCCTGGGCAAACTCTGGAGGTGAGTGAAGGGGGGGAAAAACTTGTGCGAAGGGCCCTGTTTGCAAAGCAGGGAGAAGTTTGGAGCGGGCAGGAGAGCGCGTGGTTTCGGTTGCTGGCAGTAGGGTGTGTGCTGCTGGCAAACCCCTGTGCATGGGGAAATGCAGCTAAGCTAGCGGTGGGGCAAAAACTGGGGCAGGCGCTTCCTTGGGCTTGGCCTCCTCGACTTCCAAGTGGTTTTTCTGCCCTGCATGGCCCAGGAGGGGGGCTCTGGTCCCGGAGGGGGTTGTGGAAAGAGGAGAAGAGCCCTTTGATCCCCTGGCAGGGGTTGGGAAGTGGCTGGTGCTAACAAGGAGGGCGGTTTGGAACTTGTGTGTGTGTGTAGAAAACTGGGCTTCAGCTACATGGCATCAGATTTGCATCAATGATCATGGCGGGCGAGGGGGGAGAAAGTTGGCAAAGTTGTGCCAAGCTAGTGGTGGGTGGTTCTGGGGAATGCTGCATGGCCCGATTTCTTCAGCCTGGAAAGTGAAGGAAGGAAGGGGAAGGAGAAAGAAAGTGAGTCACCTGGCCGGGGCTTAGTCTGCGACTGCAGGAGACAACAAAACAAAACAAAACAAAACAAAAAAGTTAAATTTGCAGCAGAAGGGGAAAGTTCGGAGCGAATCTGGACCTCCAGAGGCGGTGCCCGGAGCCATCCAGGGCGTTAGTCATCTAATCTTTTTATTGACTCCGTGTGTGTGTGCACACTCCGCTTCCAGGGGGGGAACAGCTCCAACCAGCCCCACGGGGGGGAGAAAAAAGTCACTGCCCTCGTTTTGTTGTGTCTTGTTTGGCCACCAAAACAATCTGCCAGTGTCATGGGGGGTGGAGGGGGGGGTGGAGAGCAGCACCAGGCAGCAAGAGAGTGTTTAGCAATGACAAGAGGCAGGCCGCAGAGGAAGGGGGACCTAGAGGGGGGCCTTTCCTTGCAATTCAGAGAGATGCCAAGCTGGAGCAGGGGAGCTGTGCTAGCCATGCAGGATGGAGTGTGCAGAAGGAAGGCAGGGGGGGCAGATTATGAGTGGGGGGGGGAGCGCTATCTGCACTGCAACCTGGCCGTAGTAGTGTGAGCTGACATTTGCAGCACCCCAGGTGTGCCTGGCTCTTTATGGCAGGTCAAGGCAGTGCCCCATGCTGTAATCTGCCCTTGCTGTTGGAGAGGCAACTAACCCCCCCGCTCCCCTGTGTCTTGCCCAGGTTGCTGAATGAGAGCGAGAAGCGCCCTTTCGTGGAGGAGGCCGAGAGGCTGCGGGTGCAGCACAAGAAGGACCATCCCGACTACAAGTACCAGCCCCGGAGGAGAAAGTCAGTGAAGAACGGGCAGTCGGAGCAGGAGGAGGGCTCCGAGCAAACCCACATCTCCCCCAATGCCATTTTCAAGGCCCTGCAGGCGGATTCTCCTCAGTCTTCCTCCAGCATGAGCGAGGTTCACTCTCCCGGGGAGCACTCTGGTAAATATGCAACCTTACACGGCGAGACAGACACACAGGCACACACTCCTGGGCCCGACCCGCTGGACGAGGCAGCTAGGGAGACACACAGCTGCCTGTATGTTAGGGAGATGCTGGCTGTGATTCCACAGCTCAGGTTGTGTTCTGAACCAGGCTCCAAATGCAATCTGCGTAGAGACAGAGGGCCAGACAAACAGGAGATATGGCTTGCGAGAGTTGGATCCAGCGTCAGATCCACTCTCACTAACCCACTTATTAGGCTTAAGACTTTTTCACCAACTTTTCTCGTTGCAACAAAGTTTCAATCACCGTGTTCCCGTTTTTGGCTTTTTAATTCGGAAATTAAATTAAAAATCACTTTGAGCCGCAGGCCAGCTCAAAAGCCCCATATTTTATCTGGTGCGGGAAGGGACAGCTCAGTGGTTTGAGCATTGGCCTGCTAAACCCAGGGTTGTGAGTTCAATCCCTGAGGGGGCCACTTAGGGATCTGGGGCAAAAATCAGTACTTGGTCCTGCTAGTGAAGGCAGGGGGCTGGACTCAATGACCTTTCAAGGTCCCTTCCAGTTCTAGGAGATGGGATATCTCCATTAGTTTATATTTACACAGATCACATTCGTGTTACAAACCTGGAAACGTGCGTGTTACCCTTCGCAACTGACTTCAGGGGCAAAGCAGGGATATCTGTCAGGGCCCCAAAGATCTTGAGTTAACCATTAACTGAGTTATCACCATTATACAACGCCTCCTGCTTATAGAAAACCGCTGGCTTTAGATTTCAGGGCCTTATTGCTCTCTCTCTCTGTGCCATATCAACTAAAGAGACAGAGAGCTCACTTAATTAAACTGCACACAAGGGAAGCAGCAAACTCATGACAGCATGTGCTATTTCTTTTCCTCTCCAGGGCAGTCCCAAGGGCCCCCGACCCCTCCTACTACACCCAAAACAGATGTCCAGCCTGGGAAGCAAGACCTGAAGCGAGAAGGGCGCCCTTTGCAGGAAGGAGGAAGACAGCCGCCCCACATTGACTTCCGGGATGTGGACATTGGGGAACTCAGCAGCGACGTCATCTCCAACATAGAGACCTTTGATGTCAATGAGTTCGACCAGTACCTCCCACCCAACGGTCACCCTGGAGTCCCGGCCACTCATGGGCAACCCGGTCAAGTCACCTATAGTGGCAGCTACGGAATCAGTAGCACGTCAGCCACTCAAGCTGGAGCCGGGCCCGTTTGGATGTCCAAGCAACCATCGCAGCCCCAACAGCAGCCACCGCCGCCCCAGGCCCCGCCCCAGCCGCCGCATACCATGACCACCCTGAGCAGCGAACAGGGCCAGTCCCAGCAGAGGACACACATCAAGACAGAACAACTCAGTCCGAGCCATTACAGCGAGCAGCAGCAGCACTCCCCTCAGCAGCTCAATTATAGCTCCTTCAACCCCCAGCACTACAGTTCCTCCTACCCGACCATCACCCGCTCGCAGTACGACTACACAGACCACCAGAGTTCCAACTCCTACTACAGCCATGCGGCCAGCCAGAGCACCAGCTTCTATTCCACCTTCACGTACATGAACCCCGCCCAAAGGCCCATGTACACGCCCATTGCAGACACTACCGGAGTCCCTTCCATTCCCCAGACCCACAGCCCACAGCACTGGGAACAGCCAGTCTACACACAGCTTACTAGGCCATAAGGGCGACAACAACAACAAGAGAGAAAAAAGAACTGTCTCCAACCTTTTTTTTTAAAGACACTAACGCTAAAGATGATGAAAAAAGAGAACACATCAGGCTTTCTGCACTACAGCACCCTTCAGGAAGTGTCCAGACCACTCTGCTGAGAACCAGCAAAACTCGGCACAGACGTTCCAAGGACTGGACTTTACCCTTGATTCAGGGGCGAGAGATGAGCTTTCTCACCGGCCAACTCGTCTGCCTGTGTTTGGACTTTTGTAATTATTTTTAGCAGTAATTAAAAGAAGAAGAAAAAAGGAAAAAAAATACCCAGAGTCCTCTGTGAGGAATATTCTCTATTTTAAATATTTTTAGTATGTACTGTGTATGATTCGTTACCAATTTGAGGGGATTTATATATATTTTTAGAGATTTTTTTTTTAAATGCTCTTATTTTTCCAACAGCTAAAACAACACTTAGTGGAGCAGTCCTAGCTTTTCTTGCAGTCAGAGGTATTTTTGTATAGATAAAAGTAATTTCTTTAAAGAAAAATAAAACGGTGTGCATTAATTAGGAACAAAAACTGTTAAACAGTGATTGGCATCAGGCTAAGCTTTGGTCAGCTGTGCAGCCTAGGAGACGCAAGGGGTTAAAAACAAAATAGGCTTTATTTTTCTAACTTGGAAGTAGAGAGAGAGCCAGGAGGAGAATGTGTTCGTTTTATTTTTTAAAGACCTCGAGCCTTAAAGCAGCGTTGTTGAAAAGCAACCCTGTAATTTTTTTTTTTCCTCGAGATTCTTATACGACTGCCTTCCAGTGCAAGGAGAAAGACAGAGCCCAGACGGGAGGCAGATCTGATTTCTGGGAATACTTATGTCTGACTCTTTTACCAACAATCAGCAGCAGATTATGATGCCACAACCAGCATCACCCTCCTCAGCTTCCTGCTTTGGGGACCATGTGCACGACAGATGCTGGAAGCCGCCCATCACCTCCCCAGCCCTTTAAAGAGCCTTGAGTGCAAACATTTAGGGCCTGATCCAAAGCCCATTAAAGACCCCAATTGGCGTCAGTGGGCTTTGGATGAAACCCGCAGGGCACATTGGAAACATCAGACACATTTTAAATTATTTATTTTGTGAGAAAAGCCAATTTAATCAAGATTTTCTTTTTAAAATCTCCCTTCCATTTTTTTAACTCCTTTAAAAGCAATTAGATTTGTTGGAGTCTTATTTGGAGGGTACGATGCCTGTTAAATTATGGTCTAAACTGTAACCAGTTCTTTATTTATCTCTAATTCCTTTTTATTATTATTATTATTATTATTCTTTGGAATCTGTGTCCTAGGTTTGTACAAACGCGTCCTCTTCCTTTTTTTCTTTTGTTTTAAGGATAAACTGGAATTTTGTTTTGTACAAACTAGAGATTGCAAATGTAGTGTATCACTGAATCATTTGCCTTGTTTTCTGCCTCAGCTCTTTTGGACACACAAACGTGTGTGTGTGTATGTGAGACACAAGACACTATTGACAAAAGCGTGTGTGTCATCCTGCTAACCTTCCACCCCTTGATGTTGTTTTGAGGTGGGGACTTTGGTGAAGCTGTGGCTGAACAGTTAAGAATTGCTTTTTAAAAAAGACAGCAAACTTTTTTTTATTTAAAAAAAATGATATATTTGTTAACAGTTGCGGGAATTTTTTTGTTTTGGGGGTATTTTTTTTTAGGGATTCAGTAGAAAAAAAAATCTTAAAGCACTCATAATATGGCCTCTTTCTATTTCTGTATAAAAGCAGATCTTTTTAAAGTATTTCTGTAACTTAAAAGACCTGTCATTTAAATCATATTTTGTCTTTAGGTAAGTTTGTTTTATTTTGTTTTGTTTGCAAGACCATTTGTTCTCTTTGTGAAACTTACCTTTTTTGTATATTATTGTTTGCAATAAATATACATTGTATTAAAAATTTTAAAAAGCAACTGTGTATATTTTATTAAGTAGATCCACTAAAGAACAGTGGGATGTTAAAGCTACAGTGGGTTTTTGACATAGTGACTTGTGTACTTTTGTCTCTTGTCTTGATTAACTTTTATCACTATATGGTCTTGGGACCTGAGCCTGCTTAACTGGGCCCAATCCTGAAATGGTTCTTTAAACAAAACTCCCATTGAAGTCAAGCAACTGTGTCAATTTCCTCCTGCTACAGTGATAGCCCCATACGGTCAGCATTAATCCCATGGCAGGATAGGTAATTTAAATAGAAGGCTACCGGGTTCCTACTACCTTTCAGGAAAGCCAGTGTGAAAAACCTTCAAAAGCTGCATTCATATTAATGTGTTACAGTAACATATTACAGTTGGTAAGATACACCTACATGCTGTGTAAAGGCCTGTGTCCCGTACACATAGACATTTGGCCACCAGGAACTGGGCTGAGACCCCAAACTTGTGTATGATTCTATCTCACAAACATCACAGTCATATCTCAGGCTAATTGTTGCCAGAGTGGATGAAGAGGACCAAAGGGGGAAATGGAGCTAGAATTCCCTTCTTATTCTCTAGGAGGCAACTCTCTCAGCTCAAGAGGAGGCATATTTAAATGAATCACGAGTGGAGCTGACAGGAGAGTGGGATTTGCATTGCTGCTGCTTATTTCTTTGCCTGTTAGGTAGATGAATGGAGGACTTGCCGCAGAGTTGCCAGATGGTCTAAATGCACAAACAAACCAAAAGTTGAGCTTGGTTTTTATTTATTTTTTTGGGAAGGCAAAAGTGGAAAACAACAAGAATGAAAAAAGAAGCAACTGTCAAAGAAAACCAGAGACCAATTAATCCCTGGCATAACTCCAGGGACGTGAAAGTGATTAAGAGAAGAACCCGCCTGACTTGTCCCATCTGAAAATTAAGCATAATTAACCTGAAAGGTGACAATGCACTTCACATCTCTACCCCTAGGATGGAGCTGGGCTTGATGTGATGTGCACCGTCCATGCCGCATTTCAGTTTTAACCAATTCATATCACAGCAGGGGCGTGGGGGAGGAAAGGAGATCAGACTCTGTTAGGTTTGGCATGAATCACTCAGGGAGTTTCCAAGCTCATATGGACTTTCAGGTCATTTTCACTAAACAGATGATATCATCCCCTTCCCTGTGCAGCAGAACAGAACAGGTATCAGCCTTTGTACAATGATGTCACTTTTCCTCCGAGTCAGGGGGAATGCTGGGAGTTTTAAAGGACACGTAGTCACAGTTGTTTATTATATTTACCCTGAGACTTCAGGCTTCCCGCCGAACTGCTAGGAAGAATTTTAACCCCCTGCCCTCCCAGGAGCTGCACTTCCATCGGGTTCATTTACTGCCTCCTGGGCAGATCACGTGCCATTGGAAGGGAGTTAAGAGAAGGGGACAGGGGCTCTCAAGATAATACCACGCAAGGGATACGCTTGCTTTTTCCATTCCCTCTGGCACCAACAAGGGTTGGTTTCCTTCCATTCCTGATCCTGCAAATACTCGCACACATGAGTTTTTCACTGATATCAATGAGGCTACTTGGGTGAGTAAGAGCTACTTGCCCGAGTAAGTATTTTGCAGGATCAGGGTCCTAGTCTTTCAGGGTTTTATAACCCCAAATTAGGGTCCTGGCAGTTTTCCTATTGCCTTCAATGGGAGTAGGAGCAAGCCCATAAACCTTATTTCCGAGCTGGAACTTGGCAAGGGTCTCACCCCTTCCCCATGGTTCATGTACATCAGCAGGACTGTGCCTTCACGTTCATGTCCGTGTATCTATATTGCTATGTCAGTACCTAAGTGTTCTTATTCAGCACTCTATCATTAAAAAATACCTTTGCTGCCCATAAGAGTGAGATGCTGACATCGCCAAGTGGAGCCACGCTAACTGTGGGCGAAGCTGCATAAACCCTCATGAGCAATGCCAACAGGCACCACAGTCCAGGTCTGAAACACCTTCCTGGCCACCCTATCTACCAGTGCTGTTAGTGCATCTCTCAGTGCCTCCTGCTAGCCCAGCTCCGTATAGTCACTGAGATCCAACAATGCACCTTCACCCTGATTTGCAGCTCCTTCTGCTATTCCAGCGGTGGGAACCCTACACAGCGCTCAAGCCCCTATTGTTATTCTAGGGCTACATTTGCCACTCACAGCTATGCAAATGCATCTTAAACCTGACCTGCAGCCCCACCCGTGCTATTCCAGGCTTAGGTTCTCTGCCAATGCACATCTGTCCTCCTAACCTGCAGCACCTGTTGCTGTTCCCTGCTGCTGCTGAGCCAACCCTCTCAGAGTTTCTGTCTGGTGGCTTTGAGACACTGAGAAATGTGTCCTCATGGCTGGAGCTTGGTTTCATTACAGAGGTTAAAGGTTATTGCATGAACTCATTGTGTTACTTCACTCTTTTTGAAACGGCCCAGTCATCCACCTATGAACACTGGCTGCTGCACAACCCTAGGAACGAGCCCCAGAGTCTGTTTGGAAGGCGCAGCGTGATCCCAGAGACAGCCTCATGCTGGGAATGGACACACATTCCACTGCCCCTTAAGGGTTCCTCAGGAGCTGCCATCACTTACTGACCACAACACCTGTTCTGCAGTGTCCTTTAGCTACATATTTGCCTGACAGGCTGCAACAGCCTCCACACCTCCCTGCTGGCTGCTGTGCAGGAGGCAATCGCTCCTAGACTATCGGCACAACATGGGGAGTTAAAGCGAACTGCTCAGCCTTGGCATTTCCAAGCGGATGGTGCCCATTAACAATCACATTTCTGACTGACTCTTTCTTAGGTACTAAATGGCTGGTCTTGAAGGCACTAGACTGGGAGCCATGAGATCTGGATTCAACTCCCCGCTCTGCCACAGACTCACTACGTGACCTTGGGCAAGTCATTTATTCTCTCCGCACCGCAGTGCCCCATCTGTAAAATAGGAATAATAATAATAATAATGCTTCCTTTTCCCCCTGATCCGCTGACTGTTCTACTTAGCCCCTTCCCCAAAGAGCTTACAATCTGTCTCTTACAAGGTGTCTATGCAGCCCCAGTACAATGGGACCCTGATCTCACTTGGGGTCTCTAGCCACCAGTGTAATCTAAAGAAACAGTATTATCATAGACTGCTTACTTGTGTTACAAGTAACGCTTACAAGAACTATAACTGAAAGGGATTTGTTTACTCCATGCATTGAATAGTACTTGGGTAGACCCAGCTTCAGAGAGGCAGTGCTTCCTAGTGGCTAGAGCGCACTGGTTTTGGCCTCAGAAAAACTGATTCTATTCTTCACCTGACCACAGACCTGCTGGGTGACACTTCAGCTCTCTGTGCATCTCTTAACTCCTCCACAAAACAGGGATAACGAAACCAACCTCCTTTGCGAAGAACTTTTAAATCCGCTGATGTAAAGTGCTATAAAAGGACTGGGTATTATTATTATTATTTGTTCACCTGGATGAGCAGAGTTAGTAGAGTGTGTGGAAATGTTTCCACCAAAAAACTTTTGTCAGGCAACTTCCTTTTTTTCAAACTGGATTTTTTTTTCCCACAGGATGGTTTTTTCCCCCCCCCCAAAGTGTTTTTCCCATGAAAAAAACACGCAGCCTTTGTCAACCAGCTATGTCACTTAGTTATTAATATGTATTGTATTTGTATGGCAGTAGCACCTAGCATCTCCAGTCACTGGCCAGCACCCTACTGTGTCAGAAGCTGTACACACACAGAACTAAGAGACTGTCCCTGGCCCAGGCAGCCAACAATCTAAGTAAACTACCGCGTCAGTTTCCTTCTACTACTTGTGTGTTGTGGGTGTTTTGCCCAGTAATGAAAGAGGGAAAACATTTCAAAACCAGGAAAATGTTCTAGGGGGTTGTTTATGTTCCTGGAATGAGGTGAATCAGATCAGGAAATGAAATACTTATAGACAGTCAGATCTACGGGGATCGCATATCAGTTCTACAGCCTATATGCTCAGGTCTAGATCTTCAAAGGCATTTAGGCTCCTAACTTCCTTTGAAATCAGTGCTTTCCTGGCACCACGTATGATTAGGGCGAACCATAAGAGCTGTGATGAATAACCAATAAGGAATGCCACTGTACAGCTTTGCATCCGAAAACGGTGGGTGGGGGGAGTCTGATCCCTAGGAAGATGTTTGTCTTTGCTGCTGCTGTTTTATTTTTTCAGTTATGTTTTTCTTTCATTTTCTTAGCGGGAAGAAAAGGTTCCTTCCGAAGTGGGGACATGCGGGAAGAGACTAGAGATGGCTGCCTATCTCATGCTTGGTGTCCCCAGGAATAACTGTCTAGAAAAGTCAAGTCATATTCCACAGCTGGCATTTGAGGAGATTGGAACACTTATGTCCTCCCAGGGCAGCAGCTCTGGGCTTTTTCCACATTACAGAAAAAGCCCAGTCCAAACATAGAGAAATCGTATGTAGAACTGTGTGAATAAGGGATTATTTGATTCATTGGCAAGTCTGAAAACAATAAAATCTCAATTTTGGGCGGAACCACAACATGTAATTTTTCAGAATTTTTGGTGAAACAAAGAGTTAAAAACAAAAAACAAAAAACCACAACCAAACATACTCTGCTGGGGGTTGAGCTAAATGTTTCATTAGATATCAACCGTAAAAAACACTTATTTAAAAGAAAAGGAAGAAGAAGGAAAATGTAAATCAAGAAGTCATTTCAACCCGTAACGAAATGTTTAAAAATCAAAACATTTAGATTTTTTCCCCATTTTTTGTCAACCGAAACAATTGGGTGAAACTGCCATGAAGTCACAGAATGTTTTGTTGTCTTTTGTTGCCAGAAAGAAAGTTTTGGCCCAGTTCTAGCCATGCTTCACCCTGGGTAAGAGGTGCTGTGAGTTCTAGGGCATTTGTTTCCACCTCTGGAGACCTGGGCTGGACTTGGGTCAGAAATGAAAAATGGCTCCAGCAGTATCTCTCCAGTGCCGCTGTTTGTTGTACG